GAGCCTCTCCCGCAGCTCCTGGGTGATGAAACTCAGAATGTCTCTCTGAATTATCTGGTGAATTAATTATGAATTAATATCTGATGAACGTGACATGCTCTTGCCCTCTGTAAATAAAGCAAAGCACTTCCTCGTCCGACATTAAACAGAGCCTGAGAGAGGAGGGAGGGGCGGGGAGGCTCTTGCCATGGGAACGCTTCAAGAGATGACCTGCGTCTGACCTCAAAGTGCACAAGCGAKCAACTTGAAGCGTTGGACGCGATTTTGAAGCTGAAATTGCGTTCGGTGTGAACGCAGCATTAGTGTGAAGAAAAACTTTGTTTTGCCACCACTACAAAAATGTTAGCATCTATTTATGCAGCTGATTCTGTTTTTTTTCACTCCACTTAAACAAACAGAACTTTTTTCAGTACTTTCTATTGGCACGTCTGAAGTTTTGCGCATTCTAGTTCTCAATTAAAGTGTACATCTGTAAATGACAAGTTTAAACAAACTTTTTTATTCTGATTTAGAAAATTGGAAGCAAATAGTTGTTGAAATTGAAACTAGTTTTAGAGAAGCATCATAACTGTTTTAATAGTTCCGATATTTTAACAATCTCACTGTTAGGTTCATTAAAACTGATAAGAAGATCTAATGTGTAATTTCAACAGCTTCATTTAGATAGTCTAAACTAATGGTTCCCAAAGTTTTCAGCCTTTGACCCACAAAGTCAGACTTTTTTTTTTTAATTGATGGCCTCCCTTCTCCCCCTATAGCCATCCTCTCCACAAAGTCAGACTTTTTACAACAAAACTGAAGTCCACTGGGCTTCAGTGCACTGGGAACACTGAAAATTAATCTGGACACACATGTTTATGTGTTTTAGTCATGTAAATTGTAACTGCATTATACTCATTTATTCGTGTCATTAACTTTTATTTTGCTCAGATCAAAAAGCCTAACCAGGGACGAGGGCTGTAAATTATCTTTTAGCTAAAAGCCTTGTGTACGCTGCATCTGTCACCTATGGGTGATAATGTTTTGTTGTACTCTCCNACCTTCTCGTCTCTGTCAACCCTCTCTGGTTTCATTTAAAAGAGTCGATCATCAGATATTGTCCAAGATTAACCTTCAGAGTGGATATAGCTCGCTAGCAGCCTCGCACCGAGGACCTATCCACGTCATCATTTACCCAGAATGCTTTGCATGTAAATAAAATGGCTCCATCCGTGTTAAAATATATATTTTAAAATTTACAAAACTAAACAGCTACAGTATTTTTACAGTCTTTAATTTACAGTTAAAATACATGTTTATCAAATAAAGTCTAATGTTACAACTATCGTGGATCCCTTTAAATCACCAGATTGGGGAATCTTTAGATGTCTGGCAAATCTTTCATCAGCATTCCTTTCATCTGATGTCTTTGTGTGGAAAAAAAAGAGACAGCTGGATGGATATTTGACTGAATGGGTATTTGTTTTGAGTTTATTAGAGACTGTCGATCAAGTAGCTCAGTGGGAAAGATCATTACGCACAAAGCCTCCTGAATCCTGCTGTGTGGGTGAACCATGCAATGTCAAATCTGATGTTGCATTCCTCTATCCTGCTCTTTTCTGTTGATGGATGAGAACACTCTGTGAAGTGGATTGTTTGGGTTTGTTTTTTTACCATCTGTCTGCTCAGATCTTAAAAATCTGATTGGTTAAAGGAGTCAGACTTGTTTGCTGTAGTCAAACTAGTCGAATCATGTCTCAGGTGGAAAGTGACAACATGGTGAAGGACTGAAATGTACAACCATTTTCTGCATGTTTGATCAATGTTTTCCTCTCTTTTACTACCCTCTCAGGGTGGGAATAATCCCAGCATCGGTAAGACCCACTCCTCGGCCGCTTCGAAGCTGAAGCACCTGCAGCAGAACAGCACAGAGAAGACCAAAAGTGGGAAGAAGGAGGATGTGATGAAGACCCAGAGCCAGCAACAGGTATCATTTAACACTTCAGCTTCACTGGGGATTGTTTGACATAGCAGTGTTATGGTGCATTCACACCAAATGCGATTTCAGCATCAGGAGCATCAGGTTTACGTGCAAAGTCTATGGTGGACGTGCTTCAATCAGTGTCAGAAAGTGCTGCGGCGCCTCAAGCGCGATTAGAGCAGTGCGATTTGAACGATCTGAGCGTTTGACGTGCTTGATGAGCAAATCGCTGAAGTTAGAAAATCTGAACTTTTGCAGCCCGACGCGCAGCGTCAACCAATCAGAGAGACTCCACTGTGTGACGTAGAGACATATTTCCATCATCAACCAATCAGAGAGACTCCACTGTGTGACGTAGAGACATATTTCCCGACGGGACAGTTTACT